TATATATATATTGTATATATATATATATATATTTGTAATTTCCTAAATTGTTTCCTAAGTTTGATTTATATTCTTTCTTTTTTATTTTTTCTATAATATGATTTTAAATATAAAATCAGGGTGCAGCATAAATCAGCACACCTGTCGACCATAAACTAACTTAATCTTCATAGTGTTACGTTATAGGCGGTATTCCAAAATTGACTGCAATGACTAAAATTCTATAGTGCGTGTAACGTAAACTATGTGTAGATTTTTATCGTTGGCAGTATAAATTTGCAATATAGCCATAGTGGGAAAACCTTCAAAAAAAGAAATTGCATTACACGTTTGCATTTTACAGAACAGCATAAAGTATGCATGTAAATTAACAAAAAATATTTTATATCGAAGTGAAAAGATTCTAAAAAATCTTATATACATTCACTTGTAAGTGCTTTGTACAGATAACTACTGAAAGAAAAAGAATAAAAATATGTGGCTTATTTATTATTATTAATGACTGCCTTCTGTGTCACTTTTGGGATCTATTTTGTCAGACGCTCATTTTTGCTTATCTTACCAAAAAGATTAATTTTTACAAAATTACAAGCAATATTGTAAAAACTGCTACAGGTATTATTTAATAGAAGATATTCTCTAGTTCGTATATATATTTCTAAAGCTTTTTTTTTTAGTTTTTGTTTAAGAAATATTGTCTAAAAACAAAGTCGGTATCAGAGGTGACCTTTCTCTATTAAAGTGTACATAACTAATATTCAACTACAATATATACTAAAAAAATAATCGATGATGTTGATCAAAGTAAATTGTCCAAGAGAATAAGAAATACGTACCTCGAAAGACTTTTTCTCGAGAGACCAGTAATATCTGATCCATGATCTGACAAAGGAGCTTCGACAATAAGCTCAGTGGTACTGGACGCAAATCCTGCAGCATTTTTTGCAACGCAAGTAAAAGTGCCGGCATCTTCGGGAAAGACTTCTCTGATTATCAAGGTAGCAACGTTATCCTCGTCATAATATATTTGAAAATCAGTAGATGGTTTAATAATAGCAGTCTGGCGGAACCAAGTTATTTGTGGTCTTGGTATGCCTTCTACTTGACATTCGAATTGCACGGTGTAACCATCTAATGTATGAATTGGTTGTAATTTTTCAATAAATCTTGGTGCTGAGGCTTTTTCTCCGGGGGCAGGCTCTAAAAAGGTTAAATATATGATATGAATATTTTAAAAGTTTATGTAAAAAAAAATTTCAAATCGCAAGTGCATATTATGAAAGTAGTACGATATAATTAATAAACTTTATCGCATTGTTTTATCAAATTTATCAATTTTGTAAATAAATTACTTACTTTCAAAGATTGGCAATTTGTCAATTTTTTCATGCAATTTTCGTTGCAAGTAAATAGTGTAACGTGCTTCATCCAATAAATATTGCGCCGGTACCCAACCTTTTTCTTCGGTCAAGTGTTTCTTTACAAACCACCAATCCTGATTAGTATGATCTGTGGAAAGTAAATATTAATTAGAGATGTTCTATCAATTGTGTACAGGTATATATATATATATATATATATATATATA